GCTTGGCTGTTGCTTGGCTGCTCCCGTGGCAGCCAAATACTTCGGCAGAATCGGCATGGAGCTGTTTACGTGATATATCACGGCTCTTGTGTGCGCCATCGTCCTCGACGCGTCTGCGCTTAGCGGATGTAAAGTTTGATAGATTCGGCTCCGGGACATGAGTCTGATCCAATTCGAAGTCACGAAGAATGGCCCGGGGCCCCAACCTGAACGCTTTGAAGAGCCTGAGGCCCCACGAGGCACGACAACTTTGGTAGTTCATGAACTTGAATGCCTATTATGTAATGGCATTGAATACCTATTATTGCATGTCATGCCTATCGAGGCAAATGAATGCCTATTACGGGCTGCTATGCATCAGGAAAATCTGAAAATCTATGAAGACAAAAGGGCCATTATATTGGTCTATGATGGCGGGCTATAAAGACATCCTGCTAGTCTATGGGGTCTATGTTGCACTCTCACTGGGGGCAATTGCCGATGCATATGATTTTCATATGCGTTAGATGCATATGATGTGACATACTGTATCACAAAGGTCTTTGTTAGATGCACATGTGTTAGTTCCTAAAAATGGCTTAAGAAATTATTAAGTTAATACAAATATAAGATATAAACCAAGATCAGACCCAAATAATGTTGCTGATTGACATGTATTTTCTTTGTGCAAGTCGCATATGCCTTTGCCGGCCGCACGTGACACGGCAAAAGTATCTGCATTACGCCTTGCACAAAGAAAACTTGTGTCAATCCTCAATATTATTTTTATTAACTCTTAAATTATACCATATATTTGTACTACCTTTATTGTCTTTGAGTTATCCTTGGCAACCGAAACACCTGTTCTTCAAAGAACACTTTGTGACATGTCACAATCATATGCACGCCATATGCTTCTAACGCATATGGCATTCATATGCATCGTTATTGTAGAGTTAACGAACTTCACCACCGATTTTCTTCTTATGTAATTTGCTGTGCTAGATTTCCCCGCTGCAATTCTGGGCTCAATTATCATCCAATTTTGTTGAAAGTGGACTTATCCGAAAGCTAGAAGATAGGGCTATCATCTAGTACCAAATTTATATATTACTTTGTAAGTTTGTAGACATATGAACTCCGGACCCATCAACGTAACATGTCTAAACGATACATGCAGTGCTGTCATCTACCCCCTCGCGCTCGTTCCCGCAGCAGTTCTCGTGCAAGTGTGGGCTGTTGTACTATAGGCCACCTGACCTGACTGACGTCAAAGGCTTTAATCCACGGCGATTTATGCCCTTGACATGATAATTCATAGACATTATTACATAACTGGACCCTTTATTTACTATCGTACATATAGTGTGTATGGGGCGTACTTCAGTTGTTCACCCGGCTGAGGTACGTTCTCTTACCTACTTCATTTTCTCTCAGACTAACGTACTTTACTAGAGTTTACTTCGTATATTAGGTACCTCCGCTCGCGATCGCCGCGCCATCAGTGTCGTCTCTTTTTCCCCTATCTGCGAGCGCTGACCACGTCTTCACAGCAGCAGCCCCGGGCATAATACACTATGGACCCCTCGCAAACCTGCGCCCGCATCTGTCAATGTGTCTGTGCACACGGGAATGCCAACGGCGCCACGGTTTGCGAGCATGCCCAGAACACCGAAGCCGTCATTGCGCCGCGCGTGTGGCCAGAGCCCCGGATCGCAGCCGGGGTCGAGCGTGTTGGAACACCAGGAGCGGCGGCACAATTGGTGCGAGAAGTGAGTGCCGTGCCCTCTGCACCCCCCGCGCCCTCTGCACGCTGCCCCTGCCCTCTTCCATGCCGCCCCCTGCCGTTTTAATGCTGCCCCGACCGTGTGCACATCGCCCCCCGCTCTTTGCATGCCATCCCCGCCGTCTGCACGCTGCTCGTGCCATCTACACGCCGCCAGCAACCTCTACATGCTGCCCCTGCCCCTTGAACGCTTCCCCCACCCTCTACATGACACTCTCACCCTTTGTAGGCCGCTCCCGCCTTGCATCACCCGCGCACATTCTCTTGCAAGTTGAGCGTGCACAGGGCCACAGACTCGTTCTGGACACCCGGTGCCGCCGCCGCCCTGAATCGCCACGCACGCTCCCGTGAATGTGTGTGGGCTCCATTTAATTTCGATGCCCCGCACCGCCTCCGCCTGCTCCAACCCGTGCAGGCTCAAGGGAGCCTCCGTGGGCTCCGGTTTGACACCCGGCACTGCCGCCGCCTTACGATGCCCCGCGGCACCGCCGTGGGCCACCCGCGCTCGCTCCTATGAGCGTGCGTGGGCTTGTTCTTGACGCCCGCCGGCGCCGCTGCCCTGCACCACCTTACGCACGTTCTATTGAGCGTGCGCTGTGGCAGTGCTGCACCGCGCGCTCGTCGACGATCACTGCGCACTGGCGCTCAAAGAATTTAAAATATCAACATATACTTTTTATTTTAACCAGCTTTTTATTAAAGAGTTTACCTCACTCGCCATTCGTGCTCAATAACGCGATGTATTCGGGCACCACAACGACCACGTGACGACGTGACGCGCGTCGATTCTCGAACATACCTAACATATCACTCACGAAGAATTTTCTTTATGAATTCCTTTCACTCATGATACTTCGTACAGGCCAACAGTGAACCAAGCCTCAACATCCCGGTTATCTCGGACTACGGCGGGGATTGAGCCAACAGTGGTTTGGGCACCCGCTTGTCAATGCTGTGGGGCCAACATGCTCTCCCTACCCTGGGTTTCGAATATCCACGGACACTGTACGTACATAAGATTTGTATTTCCATTTTTGGTCCCTTGGTCTACGAGCACAGCTACCCCGAAATGTTCATGATCATGTAATTAGTTCAGGGTTCCAATGTTTGGGGACCCCTCAGTGCTTCCTGCTCCCATCTTTGAGTCTCTGAGTCCTTGAGTTCTGAGTTTCAAGCCTGCGTTCCGTCGACAAATTGATCCCGCTGAGTTTTCGCTCGCATTTGGGCCTAGTCTCTCTAGACAGACGCTCTATAAAAATCCGCTCGTACCTCGCGTTATAGAATTTGGGCCCTGTAGCGACCGCATCCTCCCTTCGCAACTTGTTCATCATAAGCAAATAAGCATGAGTTACTGCCGAGCGAAGCTGCGGCCTTTACCCCAAGTGCTTCTAACGCATATGGCATTCATATGCATCGTTATTTGCCCCCAGTGTCTGGTGATCTATAGATCTCGAGGCGATTACCTTTATGTCTATGAATACGGCATGAATACGGGGATCCATTATGGGGGTCTAAGTATGGGTACAGTATCTAACCGTGAAGCGAAATGTTCAAGTGATTTTGTCGTTCAAGACACAATAGTGTGCAAAACCATTAGGGATCCTTGCATATTGACCAAACGATATACTGGCCACCCCGTGGCACGAGTCAACTCTGTCTGAATTGCTGCTGATCTGGTGGAGAACGAGAGAGATCTTTTTTTCTTTTTTTTAAACTGCCAGATTGATCCCATCACAGGGAAGCGAAACACGTTCCATTGTCGTGCAGCAAGTAATCTACGACTTCCGAAATGTCGATATTCATTGGATATTCGTCATCCCCCCCCCGAAAACCCCTGAGCGTGCAGAATTATGGATATTCATTGGCCCAGGACTGCGTCCGATGCCCAACTTTGTCCAAATCCGGTAAATAAGCTAGACGGCCCCGGAATCCGTCTGTCTATGAACTTCGTGCTTCGTGTCGATAGACAGACTGGTCCATCTGAGTTTTGAATTTGTTATACGTGCGTTTGTGATGGACCAGGATTTGAGGCTGGACGCACCGGCTCCATGACGACAATGAAAAGGAAGAGGTTGACCGTGACGATCAAATCAAGAAAATAAGCTTTTTGCCAGCCAGTGGTGGCACCTGGTTCGCAGGGCCGACGCAGGCAGGTGATCAAGCGGTCAATGTACGACAGTCTCTTTCGTCAAGCCCCGATCAACCTGCCAGTGGCCCTGCTGTGATCCGAACGAGGGCAGAGCATAAGTTACGACTTGACTCAGGCCGTGCATTGAAAACGAAATACCAGTAATCTCATTGGCTTTTCCATTGTCATCGATACACTCCAAAAGTTCCGCATTCATTCCGAGTTGGGGCTATCTGAGGCCATTTTGGGCCATGCAAACACCTGGCGTGGTTTTATTTAAAAGTGTGAACACCCCGAAACGAAATGCGGTGCTCCACACTGGCAACGTAATTCTGATGCAAGTCCAAAATACATGTACAGCATTAGTACTAACATATCAATACCTCCCTGGACCGACGGCCAAGCTAAGACGACTGTCCAGTGATATCGTACGCTGAACTGTCCACATGAGCAGCATACGCATCGTTTACCAAACCCCAGCCCCGAGCCGAGCCAATCTCCGACCGGCTCGCTTGGCCGACGCCGAGTACCTGCGGGTGAGGCGGCAAGGCAAAGCAAAGCGTGTAGCGGAGGCGTCCTACGGTAGCTACTACCTTAACACATAGAATCTACCTTTCCCAGTGGACTGTCCCACCGATGCCTAGTGTAAAATCTTTTCGCCTAGTCCAGGGCCAACATGGGCAAAGGTCTGCCGACTTGCCCTACTGGTAACCGGCAACCAGTTACTGTAACCGGTTGCCCGAGGGCATTGCGCCTACTATAGGCCGAGCTTAGCCTACTGTAGCATTTCATTCAACTCGTATGTCACGTGTCACTGCAGCAAAATATACGAAAGTTTTCGTACGTGTCACGCATCACCGAAGGGATCTTCGAATATCCAAAACAAAGTCACAAAATCGGCGAAAATTTCGCGTCCCGCCATGCCTCCGCCCGGAGTCACCCGGGTACCCGCGCCCGCCACAGCAATCGCGACCACTGTGCGTAGCCCTCCGCGGCACTCCCGGGAGGCACAACCAATGTGTCACCTTGTGTTTGAACAAAAAGAGCGAAAAATCCTCTCATAGAATGTTAGGCTTTTAGAATCCAAGAGAAAAAGAAAAAAGGAAGTGGACTGTGCCGGAATTGAACCGGCGACCTTTCGCACGTTTTACATAGTAATCGTTCCACCTTCCATGCGAAGCGAACGCGCTACCAACTGCGCTAACAGCCCAGACAATCACAGTCAATCAGAAGTGAATTACTAGAACTTAAGACCGGCCAGTGACGATCCTCAGATGATAAGGAGGATTTAGGGACATTTGAGTTAGGTCTCCCGAATTTACCTGAGAAACAATGGGGCGAGATGCCAAAAATGGCAATTGACGGCAGTGTTCGACATTATTATTTTTGTGTTTAACCAGTGCATTATGTTCCCATTGGTCAAGGTGATGTAATCGCATTTTGGCCTTTTGCTAGCAAGCCCAGGTGCTGAAGAGTGTGGAAAATCTTTAGAACTGATCAAAATTGTGATGTGCATGTTTGGGTAAAAATTCTGCAGCTTCCTGATTGATGGCCCACGGAGTTTCCATAATCCTTTCTAATATTATTTGAAACTAGGGTTACCCGTGAATAAAATTCACAGAGGAATCCATGTTGCAAGTCGAGCCAGGGAGCTGTGGTGCCGCCTGCCGTCCGCTGCCCGCCGCCGCCCACCGCGACAGCCCACTTGCCCAACAACCCGCCGCTCGCCGCCCGCCACCCGCCACCCACCGCGCGCCGCGCGCTGTCTGCCAGCTGCTGCTCGCCTGTCCCGCCGCTGTCCGCTGCCACCCAGCCCGTCCCGCTGCGGCGCCGCCCCGCTGCGCGCTTGTCCGCCCACTGGCCGCCGCCACCTGCCTCGCCCAGGCCCCCACCACCCACTTGCCCCGTCGCTGCTCGTCGTCCACCGGCCGCTTGTTAACACGGCTTGCTGCGCGCCGCCCGGGGCCGCTTGTCACCTGCCGGTCCTGCCCCTGTCGCCTGCCGCTGGTCCCGGTTGTGAGACAATGACGGTGCGCACGCGGACCGAGTCACGAGCAAGAGCTCGTAATGTAGCCCCCACCTGATTAGAGTACGGGTGTGCCCGGGTGCTTGCAAGCTTGAGGCAGGCCCGGGAGCTCGTAATCTGGCACATGTCATTTGTCGCACACCGTTTTATTATAGATATAGATTTTTGGTCATCATGATTTAAGAGGAGTTTTGCTGATTTTCACAAATGTAGTATCGCACATCTCAAAGTAGGTATGTATGTATATAGGCTTCCCCACATGCACCTCAAAGTTATGCATGCCAAACAATTTACAATACCCTTCCGCTCACAGTTTCGAGCCGTGCAAAAAGGGGTTACCGGGCAGGGCCATGCAAGATGCGTGAAATTCCTGTTCTGTCGAGCTCCCACACAAGAAAAAAGGGGCGGCTCATCCTCGCACAGAAACTCCAGGAAATCACATATCAAAATTTAAACATTCATTTTGTTCCCATGAACGGATGCTGGCGGTTCAAGTCACGAAACGATCGGCCGCCAATGAATTCGCGGGACAGGCCCACGGGGTAGGAATTGAGCGGACCTACTATGACCGCGCAATTTATGTGCTAGCTCGTACATGCTTTGAAGAAAGGATTTTGCAGTAACTACACATTTGAAAGATCGAAGTCCTCGGGACTATCCGTCACAGGACCCCCAGAGCTACCCACGGACTCGGAAGGGCTGGTAATCGGCTGAAAATAATGATTCGGCAGCATGTTCTGGGAATTTTTTACTTTGCTGATGTGGGTGAACGCCGGTGATAGGTAGGTCCAGCGTGTGGTATTACTGTGGGCTTGTAAGTTGTGAGACAATCATCGAAGCCATATGCCATCGAGGCAAATATGTTTTCCACCCAGTGCTATAGTGCAGTCTCGGGGAGCCAATCCTGATACAATGCATGCCAAACCCCTGGGGGCACCCAGCGCATGACGCTCGAGAGCTTGCAAGATGGGGCGTTCCATCAGATCGTGCAAAAAAAAACGAAATACTAGTAGTAGTACTCTCATTGGCTTTTCCCATTTATTATAAATTTTTCATCGATACACGTCCAAAGTTCCGCATTCGTTCCGAGGTCGGGGCTATCTGAGGCCATTTTGTGCCATGCAAACACCTGTCGTGTGAACACCCCGAAACGAAATGCGGTGCTCCAACGTAATACCTGATCCAGATCCAAAATACAGCGCTAATATATCAATACCTCCCTGGACCGACGGCCAAGCTAGGACGACTGTCCAATGATATCGCACGCTGAACTGTCCACATGAGCGCTAGCATGCGCATCGTTTACCGAACCCCTGGCAGCCCCGAGCCAATCCCCGACCGGCTCGCTTGGCCGACGCTGAGTAACTGCAGGTGAGGCGGCAAAGCAAAGCAAAGCAAAGAGCGTGTAGCCGAGGCGTGCTACGGTAGCTACGACCTGAACAGATCCAGAATACACAGACTGCCTACGCGAAGGGGTACGGCGCCCCCGGGCGCTGCACCATCTCCCCGCGCGCGTCGCCCCCGCCGCCGCCACCGCCGCCGCCGCCGCCCAACTCCGCATCGCCGCCTGCAGCTGGCCCCGGCGCCTGCGCCGCGGCGCGCACCATGCGGCTGCGGTGGAACGTCGTGCGGCGGCCGAGGCCGCGCCGCCGGCGGCGCAGCGCCCACGCGCCGCCGGCGAGGAGGAGCAGGAGGAGCGCGGCGCCGACGGTCGCGGCGGCGACGACGTACGGGGACGGTTTTGGGGCGGCGGCGGGCGCTGTGCTTGGGGCGGGGGCGGGGGCGCTAAGGGGGCGGTTGAGGACAACGAGCCGAGGGGGTGACTGGATAGTACGCACTTCGTTCCGACGTCGCCCTGATGAGAGCCGTCCGATTGCGCAGACGGAGACGCAGGAGGAGGGGAAGGCAGAGACGCAGACGACGCAGACGACGCAGTCCCAAGCGCAGCCAGGGGGTCGGGGCTTCGTCACTCGTCGTCAGCAGTTTTGCTTGGCGTGTAAGATGGACAGACACACCCCTGGTCCGGCTTGACGACGAACGGCTTGCTCATCCCGAATGCTTGTTTGGTGGTCCTGCATACAGAGTTACGACGGAGAAGTGCAGCACGGATTGACGACGCACGGATGGATAGCAAAAATCCGGGAATTGCTGCAGCAGTGAGTCAGTCTCCGCCGCGCATGTTAAATAGCGCGTGGCGCACCCGGGTTTGAACGGCCCATCCACTCTCAACGGTTGTTTGGTGCTCCTGCATACAGAGTTACGACGGAGTGGTGCAGGGCGGACTGACGCACGGATTGACATTGATTTTCTGGGGATTGCTGCAGTGTGTCAGTCTCAGCGGCGCATGCTGAAGAACGCATGGCACACCTCGCTTGGAGTAGCTCGTTCACGCTCGCATCCCGGGCATCGGCTACGTGGGCCTGGTGCGCCTTTGCATGGTCGACGTTCTTCACGAAAAGCGTGAATGTGGTTGGGTCGCCCTCGCCAAGCGTCCACGTCACGGACAGCGGCGAATTGGCCTCCACCCTGCCCGGCGTGGCTATTTGAATAGCGGAGACGGCGACGGCGACGCTATACAATACTGCCAAGACACTAGATCCGTGAGTCAACCGACACCCGCGGGAGACATAAGGCGGCGCACTAGATTCCATAGACCATTCCAGCCCGCTGTACGAATGGTCTCCAAAGAGAAGAAGAAGAAGATGAAGGTGGGGGGCAGACGCAAGCTGAACTCCGCCCAAGTGCTGAATCTGCTGATGGAAAGATTCCATCATCGTCGCGATGGTTACTGCGGTGGCGGTCCACCGGGCGAGACCGGCTGCGTTGCCGACTTTCGTTCCGCTTCCCCCCGAGTCTTGCGCGTCTCGACGCATACCAGCGGCTCGAGCGCCAGGAACTCAGCATGCATGCACTTCAAGCCTGTAAATGCACTGATCGGTTCGGATTCCAGCACAATTGCTGTACAACGTCCCTCGTCGTCCCAGCAGCAGCTAGCGCCATCAGCTAAATATATACATGGAACATATTAAGCACTGCATCCCGAGCTCTTCTAATCTTGTTCTCATGAACTCCATCATGATGTATCCCAGGTGTGCTGCAACTTTTCTCGTGTGCTAAGATTCTGGGCGCTGTTGCGTCTGAGAAATGTATGCAGAACACACGAACCAGATATATTCATAAGATCACGAAAGTAGCTACGAACTAACAAGATACTAACTCATGTGCTTACGGTAGATACACCGTGATCCGAGTCGGTACTTGATTGATCTGCAAAGTTACAGGTACATCCCTAGCGTTGGCGCATCAATCTATACCAACATTTTCCCCCCCAAAAAATAATGTCTCCATCACAAAAATGAGTTCAAAAGAAGACGGTATCCTCTGATTGCCATCGAACGTAAAAGACCAAATCCAAGACATCGACAAGCATCACGCAGTGCGCTGATGCATGCGCCACCTGCGAACTCAGCAAAAAGTCTTACTGGCGGCGAGATCTGCATGGGAGTCAGGACTCACCGGACCGGCGTCAATGATTGTAACCCCCTCAACTGAAGCTTCAGTCACGTCCGACTCCGACAGCGTGTCCAGTATGTGATCAACGACTGGCCATGGACCATACATGGATGCTTATCAACGGAACCGACAATGTCTCGATCTCTGTCATCTCCGCCGCGGCGGTACCTCTCCATCTTTCCCGCCACAACGAGTTCACACGCACGCACTGGACTTGCGCTGAGTTGCGTTGATACATAGATCGTAAGTGATTCCAGAGAAAACAAACATCTGCCCGGCCCGATGTCGCCGCAGAAACCTGCTTCCTACGCTTCTCTATTCTGCAAGCGTAATTTAGGCAGGGTCTCAGCGGCAAAAGTTCAGGTTGCCGAAACCGGCTATCAACACGTGACCTGCGATAGAAACCATATCAGGTAATCGGGAATTCCCCACATCATCAAGCTCGGTTCTCCTTTTCCTATATACGGGATCGGGGGTTCCGAGGATGCCCCACGGCAGGTCCCTGTATCATTAAAGCGGCACGTCAAGCATTTATTCAACTTGGCAGACTCCAGATTTCGGGAGCATCCCTCTTTCTTGTTCTAACATAATGCAACGTCATGAATTACTTTTGCACACCTCACTCAAAGGTCAAGAAAGTCAATTTTGCGTCCGTAGCTTCTCAATTTGCG